CTCGTCTCTCTCTCTCTCTCTCTCTCTCTCTCTCGCTCTCTCTCTCGCTCTCTCTCTCTCGTTTGAGCGCAGTCTTTTTATCTCGGTTTTACTCTGCCTCCTCGTCTCTCCGAAAAAAAATTTTTTTTCCTTTTCGGGGGATCTCGACAAGGCAGCACTTTTTCGAATTTCCGCTTCGTACACATCACTCGTTTCCTAGTCAGTTTACGTTAGTCCCGAGGCTTTTGTCCTTTTATTAATACACACGAGCTCGATCGCGAAATCTCTCGAATCTCCAAATTTCCATTCGTTCGTAATTTTCTCTCTTCTTTTCCATTAGTTCTCTCACCCTTGTAACGGCACTGTTCCCAACTGAATGGAACGTCTTTCGAATTGCTTCGGTTACCTCCTAACGATTCAACGTAACAGGACGGCAGTTATAATTTTGCAAGCAGTAAGTCTTTAACAATGTATCACACTTTCATTTACATTTATCAATCCAGTCGCACACTTCATTTGTTCATCAGCAAAGCGGCGAGACTCGTCCAACGAAACAGTCCTGTTCCCGCTAAATAATTACACGAAATTTTTATCCGTAGATTCGTTAGCTTCCTCGTCATCCAATCGCTTCTTTTCCATCTGCGTGTTTCACGTGTGTGGATGTACTTCCATTTTACATTCGTTTTACATTCGTTTCATCCATCAGTCATATGTAACGTGCAAACGTCGTTAATGAAGACCTCAATCTCCTGACGATCCTCTTTTCGTTCGCACCGAATGCGATTATAAATGATTGATTATGAAGGCAGAACGCTTCATAAAAAAAGAAACGACTTGCATATTTCATTCCTCGCCTTTTCGTTTCCTCGTAAGGGAACGAAATTACGAATAGTCGCGGAAAAGAAGCCACTAATGGAACGCGGGGCAAAGGCGCTTCAGACAATTCCCCCAATCCCGCCAAGCGTATGCACAATTTCAAATCTCTTCTGTCAAAGACTTTCGATCCGCGCCGTACCCTCTTCCCCGACCTCCTCTTTTTTCCCTTTCTCTCTCTCTCCGTCGCGGCTGCTCTCGCCAAGTATTGCAGAAACTGGCGCGATTCGGCCACCGTCGAATCGTCGACTCGTCGACTCGTCGACTTTTGGAAACCACTGAACTCGTCCCGGTTGGGATATCGCGGGCGGCATTTTCTATGTGAGAATGGCGGCGCGGGCGAAGGGGTGACGCGGCTCGCGAGAGGGAGCGGCTTACGTCGGCGGCGAATACCGTGATAGAAGGTGCACGGGGAATATCGCGCGCGAGGGGTAGCAAGGCGCGGAGGGCGGGTAAAACTTACAGCCCGGATTCCGGCGTTGCTTACGATGGACAGCTCATTTTACACACCCCATTTTGTTGGTAAACTTGGTGCGCTTGAAACACTTCTGTCTAATAGAGAACGCACTTGTTTTTGTCACGCAATTGCCACAGTTGCCCGTCCACCTTCCGATCGATTTGTTTAAAAGGATTCGAATTAAAATTGAGCATGAAATAACGGCAAAGCCTTACCCTAGTAGCACAGTGCGTTGACTAAACGTTGGTCCGATACAACCAAACGTTGTATGTGACCGCAACCAAATCTTGTATGCGACCCCAAGCCAAATATTGCGCCAATGTTTAACCAATGTTTGGTCAATGCACTGTGCTACTAGGGTACGCAGTCGGGTGGCTAATAATAATTTTGCGTATACACCTTTTTCTTCAACGGACCGCGCGCCGATGACTTTCGACATCTCGAGCTGAAGTTGAAATAGTACACCTAATTAAATCAGCAATTTAACAATGTTCCCGAAAAACTGTAAAGAATTTATTGCTAAAAATGTTAGCCTCAGCCGGGACTCGAATTAAAATTAAATTATTGCCGTTTATCGCGGATCGAGATTTATTTTTTAAACTCGTATAAAAATACTCCTTCGGCATTCCGAGACAGTAATTTATAATTACGAGTCTCGACAATTTTACACGCGTGTATTTAACGGCTGGCACCTCTAAACTCCGTGTTTCATTATAATAAGATATAAATTATAATTCTGATTCCCTGGCAATTCTTTTCGTATTCGCTAATCGCGAATACGAAACACTAATTATATATGTATATATTCCGCATTGTATTGTATATTAAAATTACCAAACGAGACACTTACCTGTCACCAAAATATTCAAACGAGTTCGTTTAATTCGTATGAACGTTGCACGAATTAAATAACGCGATTTTAATCGTGGGAGTTTAGAAAAATACTAGCGAGCAGTATACAACGCTAAGTACTTACCATACGAAATGTTGACTGGCCGATCATGCGAATCCCGCTTTCTGAAACGAAATTCAGAAAGCATTAATTCCGATAAAGGAGACACGGAGGGGTAAAGAATATATTGTAACGTAGACGGTCTGGCATAAAACATGGATTGGGATGCGAATAATAATAGTAATACATTTTTCGGTATAATATACGGAGGTAAATGTATTCGCTATTGTGCCCCTCGTCGTTTAAAATATTGTCCGTTCGGCTGTTCAATATGAATTTCACGTTGTAGCAATGAACGTCTACGGTTCTTTGTGTCCGTACGGTAGGATCGATGGGCGAAACCATAAAAATATTTACGCAAATGTATCCGGCTAATATTAATTGC